ACCGTCTTGCCTGTGCGCTTTGGCGGGTACTGGGGAGTTCGTGGCTGCATTCTTGAAGTGGCCAGTCTACGATGCCTTGAACTCTGAGCCGGAGGGTTGCCGATGACGGTTTCGGAGGCTCCCCTGCGATGGTGAGAGGGACGGTATCCTGAGGCCGCAGATCCCAGCGAGGTCACTGGGCACATGGGAGGCCAAAAATGGAGAACCCCAATGATGGCCCCCTTGGCCAGCATCAGCAGCATCATTGGGGTCCCGTTTCTCCTTTTGCCAGGCTTGGCTGCCTGTGCCCACTGGGCCAGGCCTGATTGGGTTCCTGAATCTTGGATGTTGGAACCGAGTTCTATGGTAGGTTTGCCATGGGGATATTGATGGATGGAGTGATGGGTTGCAGGACTTATGATAGTTGTATGTAGGTTTTCTGCGGGTTTTATACTGGTTTTATGCTGGTTTTATGCGGTTTGGCTGTGCTGATGATGTTCCTGTACGAGGCGCGCGCGCGCGCGCGTGCGCGCGCGGCCCGTACAGAAGCATCATCAGCAAAATTGCGAACCCATTTTGGCGCAATTGGGACCAGGAGGGTCAGAAGCCCAAGAAAACCTATCAAAGTAGGAAGACGGCAGGGCCGGCCCTTGCCGCTAGGCCTCAAATAAAACAAGCATGATAGAACGGATGGCCGGTGCTGGATAACCCGTGATTGCCTTTCGTTTGGATGGCCAGCGAAACTGAAATTTTAGCCTGGAAAACATATTGTCCTTTTTTCAGAGCTGCATCCAAATGCCCAAGTGGGCTCCAACAGCCAAATGGCCCAAGTCGCTTCAGAAAGATCCAAATGTGTTCCAGAAGCCTCGACTAGGGTTCCAAAAGGGCCAAATTGGCTCCAGACCCAAATTGATTCTGAAAGGCAAGGCTGTTTCCTGGTCAGGGCTTAAGGCTTCGGGCTTGGGTCAGGTTTAGGGTTTAGGGCATTAGGGGGAGGTCAAGGGGAAATAGCCTGTGGTTTGGGTCTAGGGGTTGAGGTTTAGGGTTGAGGTTTTAGGGTTCAAGGTTTCACGGTTTTGCTTTTTTGAAGCAACCGACTTTTGCGTCTGGTTTCAGTTTTTGTTTACGGGACCTCTTCTCCAAGGCATGAATCCCCAACCAGGGTTTGAAGTTTAGAGTTCAACGTTCAGGGTGTTAGTGTTGGGGTTTGGTGTTTAGGGTGTGACAGGTTTTGGGAGGCTAGGGGAAAGGACCCGGACAGTAGGGGTTTAGCAGTCAGGAAGGTTTATTGTTAGGGTGGGGTTCATGGTAGTATTTCGAAAATGGTATATGGTTCTGAGTTTCGAAAAACAACATTGTTGAGTTGTTTATCTTCATCCTGTCACGTCGTGCCCTTGAAAAGGCTTGGATTTGGTTTGAGAGCGGCCATTTGCTCTCGAGCCCTGCAAAAAATGCTTATGAGTGTTTTGGTTTGGTTCTTACGTCCTCTCACGTACCGCGATTTGCCCTCAAGTCCTGCAAGCAAATGCTTATCCGGGTGCAGGACAAGGCTGGACAACTGTGCAAATGCATCACGTTGGTCCGGGCGTATGGGCTTTAAAGGACCCGTCCGGGCCAGGCCTTCGTTTTGTACTGCCGCACTGGGTCCGGCCCTGTCCCAAGATTGGAGAACCCTCGAGCTGGCATCGGAAGCGCGGGCCCTTTTTCTGAGAACTCAACTTATTGATGCCCAGTTCCAGGCGGCTCCAGGCCCCACTGCTCAAGAAGATAGAAAGGAAAGACTCGCTACGCTGGCTTTGTGATTTCACAGCGGAATGCACTTTCCTTACCTACTCTGGGTTATGGTTGCTAATCTGACAATTGAAGAACGGATCCTTAATCCCCCATTTCCCGCATTCAAGATGAGGCAGCGGAGACAATTTCATTGCATGTGCTCCGCATAGTGACAGACTGCTAAGAGAAGTCAATTCACGTATCAGGAATGTCGAACTGCAATAATGAGGAGAGCAGAGGTTTTTGTTGGCCACTGTTGGACACAGAGAAAAGGCAGCCAAGTGGCAATTTCCAAGCTGTCTTCACGAACGCAAACGCTCAACGCCAAGAAAAGACTTTGCGAATCGCAACAGCGAGTGAGCACATATTGATGTGATGCTGAACCGACTGCTAAGCATAGGCAAAGCCCCTTTGGTTTTTTTGACAGTAACGACAGCAACGATGTATCATTTGCAAAAATATATCAGCTGAGGCCTTCTTAGAATTCAGACCCTTCGCTGACTACAGTATGTCACTATTGACCCAAGACTTTTAGCGTCTCTTGCACACCATGACTGCACGTTTCACATACACAAGACCATGTGACGCTGCATTCCTGACCTCCAGCTCTTCCACAGTTTGCACCTTGACTGCTTCATGTTTTGAACGAGGGCAACGATCAATCAGGAAAGGTATGAGGACGCAAAAGTGGCAGAGGGTCCGTGGCTGCGGCTGTTGCCACCAAAGATGAATGCAAATTTGTGAGCTCGTTGCCTACACCACATCACTTGACCACTTCCGGCTGACGAAGTTAGGCCACTGAGAATCTTGCGCATGTCTGGAACTTGCAGGCGGATGCCCTGGCAGAAGATCACATCTCGTCCGCAAGACATCTTATTGAAACCAATAAGATTCGGAAAGAGAGCTAGTATATGTGTATATATATATAATATCCCATCGTAGTAGTTTCCATTTGATTTTCC